CATGGCTAGCCTTCTACCAAATTTATGCGATATAAAGGAGTAATTAGCTCCAGAATCAATCAAAATATTGACAGACAAATTATTTACTAGGAAAGTACCTGAAGCGACGTCGGCTTCGTCCTTTATTGCTTCCAGAGTCATCTGGAATGTTCTTGCCTTCGGCCTTGGCGATACGTTAGGCTTTGCAACATCTATCTTATTCTTCAGGTAGTCTCTTGCTATATGCATTTCCTCTTCGCATCCAAAACAAACCTTCTTATTGGATGTACACTCAGTGGCGTAGTGTCCCGTCCTTCCGCACGTGTAGCAAGTTACCTCCTCGCTATAGTTTCCGAAGTGTTTCTTCTTACACTTGTCACACCATTTGGCTTCTCCTCCACCTCCAAACTTCTTGGAACCAGATTTTAGAAATCTGCTCTTCTTGCTGGATCTTGCCGATCCTTCAAACTTCCTCTTTTCTCCTACCTCCGCTCTATCCAGACCCTTTTCCCTAAGTTGGGTCTCAACATTCTTCGTTGCTCTGACAGTCGCCTTTAGAGTGGTTGCAATCTTCACCTTTGGACCAAATTCCGTTGGTAGTCCATTGGCAAACCTCTCTATCTTGGAGAGTTCAGTAGGGACCACATAAGGGAATAACTTCATCTTCTCGGTAAAAGTAGCGGCAACGATGTACTTAGTGACACTCAACTTTCCCTTCTTCAAACTCTGGAACTCGTTGCTCATATCTATTAGATCTACTTCTGAGCAGTATTGCCTTCGTAGCTGCTATAGGAAATCCTCTCATGTCATCTTAAGGGCTTCTTCCTTTGGCATAGTATCTGCCAACAACTTCCACCAACTCCACACATTAGTCTTTAGTTGCCTGACAATGAAGATCGTCTTCTATCTATTGCTGCAGTCATAACTCTCAAACACCATTTCTATTTCGAAGATCCAATCCACGACCTCCACTTTTGTTGGGCTTCCAGAAAGGCTTGGTGGCTTGGCACCCATGAAATCCCTATACTTACACCCATTCCGATCCACTCCACGGTCAGGGTTATTCCTCCTAGCATGACGTCGTTCATCTTGATCTACAGTCTTGCTGTAGCTGCCTTCCTCAGACTGTCCTTCATTTAACAATGGTGCTTCAACCGACTTAGATCGTTCAACGAGTATTGTGGATTCTCTCATATTCTCCCAAAGTAGACGTCTTGTCTCCTTCATCCGACGGTCTAGCATCATCTGCATCATTGCCTGTACTTCTATCATCGTGATTGGCTCGGGTGTAGGGGAAACGACCGGTGCATGCTCAGTCACTCGTGGCTCAAGTTGTGGGATTCCATTAGCATTTCCTACTCCGTTGTGTTTTCTCACCATGGCATTCTATACACCAAAGAAGGCATTCAGTGTACCGAGACGAGAAATAAGATAGGGAAGGTTCTATCGATGTAAAAATCTCCTTATCACTCTAAAAAGTTACATGCCAGTTATAATACTGTAACATCCCAAAATTTTCAATAAATTTGAAACTTTTTAAAATAACATAAATCATACAGTTAATATATTTTATTCAAAACAAATTAAATACCAAACCCCAAGATCAAATACGTTTCCAAACATTATTATTTATAATTCCAAAATTTATGAAAACATAACCAATTGAATATCAATTCCAAAAAACCCGCCTCGAGCTAGTGTGTACAATTATGCCCGACCATCTTGTGTACTAAAAGTAGTTTTTAAGGAAAAGGGTAAGCACAAAGCTTAGTGAATTCCACACATACACAGTATCATATCATATAATCCTTACCCCTGTACACGGATACAAACGGTATCATACACATAACCACGCATGCATGTCAAAGAACAAATCAGTAACAGACATACTCCTATTGGGACACATTGGCTAGGCCCGATCCCCCTTGCTCAGTACATCGAGCCCTTGGGACACATTGGCTAAGCCCGATCCCCCGTACCCGAACCCATTGGGACACCTCTAAACGCAATGAAACCTCCCAAGCAATCCGAAACCCACTCACACCTGTTTTCCCTTCACACTTCCTAATAATAACAAATAGAGTTGATTTTAGTTACTAAATTGCCTTACTTTAGCAAATATACTAATGAGTAAAATTCCAAATTTCTACATAAAAATTAGGGTATGTTCGGGACCTGTTTTCACCACCTTAAACTTCATATTTTTCAAAAATGTATCACATGCTCATAGATTAGGTTCTTAGCTTTAAAATTAGTATTCAGACACCTCCATACGAACTTTCTAAGATTTATGGCGAATTTTACAAAATTGTCTCGCATAGCAGCTCTTTCCGGACCAGTCTGGATAAATGGTCGTATCTACCCTAGCTAGAGGCATTTCTGGATTTCGGTCAAAACTAATGAAGTGTATAAGACTTACATACGAAACTCTGGGATCTGGTCCCGAGACAAAATGATGTCCCATGATTTTTTGACGATTTTTACAAGACAGGGGCAGATTGGGTTATTTACATAAAATCACAGCTTCATTCTTTTAGGTTAAAAACTCTTGTCTTAATCCATTAAGCCATCTCACAAAGATCCCCAAATCTGGAAATGAAGTCTTAACAGTGGATAACAGGAGTTGGATCGAAAATGTCAATTGGGATTGCAATTCACCACCAAGGTTCATTGCTTAAAAAGAGAAAACAAAGTACAATGCCATAAGAAGAATTAACACACCTAAGGTTTAGGTTTTCTCCATGATCCAATGCTTTGAAAAGATGGAAAAGGGTACCACCCACTGCCACCATTAGGAGGTGGACTGTGGTGGTCGATGGTGGTGAACATGGAAGCCACAATGGTGTTGGTCGCTTTTGAACTAAGAAAAAAAATGAAAAGAAAAGAGGTTCGTTTGCTTACCTTGAGACGAGAGCACCACAATCCACACTCTAGCACCACCACTAGAAATCGTAGCAGCCATCCAACAACCTCATCCTCAATCTAACCCGCTCTCTCTCGGCTCTTCTCTTTTCCCGCTTCTCTCTCACTCGGTATCTCATTCTCAGCCGCAAACCACAAATACGCACACACAATACACACTAATTGGGCTACTAGGTATTTTTAAGATGAATAAGGGCTTAGTAAGGCCAAACGCAGCAAGCTTGGGCTGCCAAAAGAGGAAGATCCCGAAAGTATGAAGCTCCATGCACCAAAATCTGAAAATTACACAAAAGGTCCCTCAAGTTTGCTACAATTAATTATTTATCCACTAAGTTCAAAGCTTTAACATTTTAAGTTTTACAATTTGTCTTTTATATCCCTCCTTGAATTATATTCTTTGAATTTGGTTATTTCCCAATTTATTATTATTATTATTATTATTATTATTATTATTTATTAATTAATTAAAAAAATAATGAACATCGGAAAATAGGGTGTTACAAATACCATACTTAAACGTTTAGAATCATGAACACATAAAATTTCTAGATCCGGTCGGCAAAAGACCATAGATCCGATCAAATAATATTATCCTAGATAGTCAATATAAGGCATCATCATAAATCATTTAGCACATAAAGCAATTTAGCCATATTTCCTAAAATAAGCTAGTGCATGTGTCAATTCAAGTTATCTAACTTAAATATAGCGCCACTCATCTCACAATCATCGTTTAACATTGTAAGTTTAAGTCTAGCAATCCTATAAATTCCTAGTTCGCTTAAACTAATGGTCTGATACCTACTGTGACATCCCCAATTTCTCGGCCATAAAATATCGATTTGTTTATGTTTATTTTCTAATGTTTGTTTGTCTAACATATAAAATGCAACTATTATAGAAAATATAAAATGCTAAACTCACAATCATCACTTAGCATTTTAAGTTTATGCTTATTTTAGAAAATATAGTACAGTTCAAAAAAATAAATATTCAAAATTTAGATCGTTATGCAGATCGTGTGTTGATTTTGTAAAATATAAAATGCTAAATAAAGAAAAAAATATTTTTTGTTATATAAGAAAAAGAAAAAAAGCAAATGATAAATTTTGGATACAAGTAAACCGTTTATCTCTTTGTCATATATATTCTAATAAATGAAATTTTTTTTGCCACTTGTCATACTCTCATTCAATTTGTCAAATGTCATTTTGTGGTTATTTTGAATTAATTTTTTTTTCCATATGTCATTTTATGAGTTTTCTATTTTATTAAATTCCACATAATATTTTATTTTAATGTAATAATTGCAATAAATCTAGTAATAAATGAATATCAATTTCATTAATCAATTTACCTTTTAATTTCATAATTCTCAAATTTAAAGCTCATTAGTTTCTTTTGTTTAAATTTAAAAGATAAAAAACATTTCATTATAATAATTCATTATTTTTCTTATTTTCTTATAAATTCAAAGTTCTCAAATATTTTGACATTTATATTTAATTTAATTTTTTTAAATTAAATTATGTAATACATGAGTCTCACAATTAGTTTTTGGTAATTTAAGAATATTTTAACTAGATATACTAATATTTTGAGTAAATTACACGAATGGTCCCTATGGTTTGAGGTAATTTGCACGTTTGGTCCCTAACTTAATTTTTTAACTCGGAAGGTCCTTAAAGTTTGTTTTTGTTGCACGCTTGGTCCCTATCTTATCTAAAAAGACTATTTTGCCATTGATTTTTTAATTTATTTAAATAAGGTGAGGTAGGTAAGGTAAGGTAAGGTGATGTGGAAGTGAGGTTGGGGTATGTTTATTTAAATAAAGTAAAAAATCAAGGCCAAAAAAGTCTTTTTAGGTAAAACAGAGACCAAGCGCGCAACAAAAACAAACAGTAGGAACCTTCCGAGTTAAAAAAATAAATTAGGGATCAAACGTGCAAATTACTCCAAACCATAGGGACCATTCGTGTAATTTACTTTAAATATTTTTGTTAATTAGAAGAGGGGCATGAAAGTAAAACCATATTTAATAAACAAGTGGAGATATCATCTCCCTTTCAAAAACCCTCCGTGTTCTGAGATATATCGAGAGAGAGAGAGAGAGAGAGAGAGAGAGAGGTGCAGAAAAAGAAGCAGTGAAAGTGATGGAAGACGAAGACGAAGACGAAGACATCGTTTGGAACGACGAGCTTTTTGAATCCATGCTAAAGTGTGGTTACGATGAGCTCGCTAAACAGAATGCCGACAAGGTCAGTGTTCCATTGGAACTCTCTGTATGCTTGTCGTTTATGCGTTGGGTTTCATATTCGCCTCATGTATCGAATGTTCTTGCTGATTATTTCATCTCCATGTTGTATATATATCTGCGACCAAGTGTAATGTGTATCCGCTTAGGGCTTAGAACACTTGACACATGTATGAGCGTAAGTCTTATCTCGAACACTCTGAGCATGGATGTTGTAGCTATTTATTTGTGATTTTGCAGGTGGAAACTTTTGATGCATTCCTGTCCCTTGCTATTGCCCCTGCCTCCGCTGTTCCAGATCTTAGAGGTAAAAATGTTTGTTGTAATACGATACGATCCTTACTCAATTAGGGCTTATTGAGTTAAAGGTCAGGATTTGTAACATATGAATGAAGGTAGTTGAATCATTTTAGAGGTCTACATGGATGAGATTATCATCACCTGAGATGATAGTATTTTGATTTCAAAGTTAAAGCACTTTCTAAGGTCTCAATTAGCCACAGATCGCATGCCTCTTCTTTACTTCCTTGAGATAGGAGTCTCTCAATCTCCATGAGGGTTCTTCTATCTCAATGGAAGTATTTTCTGTTGGATAACCTCAAATCCCCAATGCTCGTTATTTGGAAACTTCTTCCTGAAGATGGAAATCTTATGAAGGATCAAAAGCAATATAAGGGAAATTAAACTGTCTGATAGTTAGGTAATATCATTATCATATCCGAAGTTTGATTTGGTATGGTGTGAAGAAAACTTATGTGATTGTCTGTTTGGAAGAAGGAAGTCCTTACAACGGTTATTAAAAACATTATGATCCTGTAATAATCACATGTCTTGACCAAGGATGGATAAAACTATAGAGTAGAGATAACTATCAAATATCAATAGTAAAGTACAATGCTTATTATTTTATGCTTTTTCTGTTGTTAATGTGATAGGAATTAGATGGTTAAATACTATAAGGGGTAAATCAGGAAATTCATCTAGGTCGGGCTAGGATTATAATAGATAGAGAGAAAGATCTCAGTAGGGGATGTCTAGAAAATTGATAGTGTAATACTTTTGTATTGGCTCTTAAGCTTTCGGCTTAGAGAGAGTGAGATTCCCTGGGCAATCTTTTAGATTGTGTTAATCGTTTAATCAATTAGTTCAATGTCATCTTCATCTTCCTTACAATCTCTTCTTTGTTTCTGTTGATTCATTAAACCCTAATTTTTTGTTTCTCTATCATTGGACAAAAAATTAGGGTTTAATGAATCAACAGAAACAAAGAAGAGATTGTAAGGAAGATGAAGATGACATTGAACTAATTGATTAAACGATTAACACAATCTAAAAGATTGCCCAGGGAATCTCCCTCTCTCTAAGCCGAAAGCTTAAGAGCCAATACAAAAGTATTACACTATCAATTTTCTAGACATCCCCTACTGAGATCTTTCTCTCTATCTATTATAATCCTAGCCCGACCTAGATGAATTTCCTGATTTACCCCTTATAGTATTTAACCATCTAATTCCTATCATAATGATTCGTTTTCTGTTCTCCTCAGATCATTATGATTGTATGGCTGTTAGCATAAAATCAAAACTATTGCCATTTCAGCAAGAGGGTGTTAGGTACGCATAATTATCGATTAGTATGCATGTTCTTTGATCAGATACATGTCATCTAAAGAACTTTTTTGTTGCAGGTTTGTATTGCAGCATGGGGGGCGCGTCCTCCTGGCTGATGATATGGGCCTAGGGAAGAGTGTTCAGGTAATTAATATGTCTCTAGAATGTTTTTGATAAATAAAGCAGGACAGGATATTTATATCTCGTCATTCAATTATTATTGCTTGCAGGTTATTGTTGTAGCCTCTTGTGTTTGTGACTCATGGCCTGTTCTTGTTCTTAGTCCATCTTCATTACGGCTTCAATGGGCTTCTGTCAGTATTCTCTCTCTCTCTCTCTCTCTCTCTCTCTCTCTCTCTCTCTCTCTTACTTCCCGTAAATATAAAGAACATGTTCATCATGGATTTACACTTTATACTTTTCATGCTTTACACAGATGATTCAATAGTGGCTAGGCATCGACTCGTCAAAAATACATGTATGGTTTTCTTTTTTCATTCTACATTTATGTGAAATGTGAACATGGCACCATGTTTTTTATTTATTATACATTTCTAACAATTGTTGTGGTTTTTTCTTTGCAGGTGGTTTTGTGCAATTACAAACAAACATGGGTTCACAATAACATGGGGTATAAGTCCTAGTGGGGAATTCCACATTGTATCATATGATGACGTGGTCAAGCTTGAAGGCTTGAAGCCGCTCTTAAGCATTTAAGTTTTAAGGTAAGCCCATCTGATATAGTAATTTGTATTTTACCTTCTATTTCAAAATTCAAGGACATCCAATTGCAATCATGATATTATTAAGTGGTCACTGTTTATGTATACAAAAGGGATTGTGTAGCACATGCACATCACATGATAGCGGTTGATACTTTGTACATGGACTTTTCCAAGATAATACATGCAGATAGCAATATGTAGATGTAGACTGTGACCAGTATTAAGAGTAGTGATTTAAACTGACAAACATCTTAGCGATTTAAAACTGACAAACATCTGAAATTTGACTTTCTCATGTTTTTCTAAAATGTGTTTGATTAATCAATAAATACATATTTAAGAAAAACAAGTAACATGTGCATGCTGCTTGGGATTTGTTTTTTCACAGCCTTTTGATAAATAATTTCTTTATATAGGTTGTGATTGCAAATAAGTCACACTTCTTGAAGAATGCCCGAGCATAACAAACTACTGCATCTCTTCCTATATTTTACAGGTCTCTCTCTCTCTCTCTGTGTGTGTGTGTGTGATGTCTTTGTTAGTTTCTTAATTGCAGACAGCTCGATACACAATGCTGCTTAGTGGGACTCCAACTTTTTCTCGACCAATAGAGCTATTTACACAGGTCATAATTAATTCTTTTTAGACTCCATATTTTGGTTAATCCCCAATGAATTTGTATCTCTTCTCTAAATTAAAACATTTACATGTTTTGACAGCTTGTTAGTTGAGGTATTCTGACTTTAAGGCATCTTTCTTCTATGTATGTTTGTTCCTTCATTTTTAATTGGGAAATTGTCATGCTTTATTGAAATTGGAGTGATTATTGTCACTCATTCTTAACTTGTTTTCATCACACAGTTGAAGGTAATTGGCAACAAAATGACGGCCAACGAGTCCGAGGAGGAAGCCGGTATGCATATGCCTAACCTTAAGGATACCCAGAAAAAGGTGCACATGTAAGATGCAACAACCTTTTAAGCTATTTTCAGTTAACCATATATTCTCGAACAAGAAAGAGCTCTCCTTTAAAAGATACTTGACTATTTTACCCCTAACCAACTAGCTTACATAAAAGTTTTATATAAGCTAGTTGGTTAGGGGTATAATAGTCAAGTATATTTTAAAGGAGAACTATTCCTTGTTCGAGAATATATGGTTAACTAAAAATAGTTTAAAAGGTTGTTGCATCTTGCATGTGAACCTTTTTCTAGGTATCCATAAGGTTAGACATATGCATATTGGCTTCCTCCTCGTACTCGTTGGCCGTTATTTTGTTGCCAATTACCTCCAACTGTGTGATTAAAACAAGTTAAGAATGAGTGACAATAATCACTCCAATTTCAATAAAGCATGACAATTTCCCAATTGAAAATGAAGGAACAAACATACATAGAAGAAAGATGTCTTACAGTTAGAATACCTCAACTAATAAAGCTTTGATTGGTGTCATGTCCTTGTCTGTCAAGTCCAGCAATACCTGGGGACAAGAAAAAACAACAAAAAAAGATGACCACTAGATGATAAACACGGAGCATATTATCAAAAAATGAAACTATATATATATATATATATATATATATATACACTAGTCGTTACCCGCGCAAAGCAGCGGGCGACGAATAGTTGCATACCCGACCGATGCAGCCGCTAAGAATAATTTTTTCGGCGTGTTATTTTTTTGTATCCGTGATTATGTTCTTTTAGGCACATTGTTTTGTTTCGGAGATTACGTTCTTTTATCCGATTATGTTCTTCTGGTGCATTGTTTTGTCTTAACAATAATAAATGAAATGTTATTTTACTACATTGGTCCATATAGATTTGACATGATTTTGAATTTAAATGTACCCAGATATTTCAACGACCATAAATTAATCATTCTCTATAACCATAAATTAATCATTCTCTATAACCCCAGGACTCATTGAAAGTCCAGATTGTCCCCTCCCAACTGCATACACAAAAGGCATCAGCAGTAAAATAAAATAAAATAAAAAACAATCTAGTAGAAAGAAAAAATGGAAAAAATATATAACTTTGAGTCGACATAGCAAACATTTGTAAGACTCTAATTGTGCTTCCTTGGGAAAAAAATTAATAAATTTTTAAAAAATGTCAGAATCCAGATATAGATGAAAACTAACAATATTTAAGTGAAATCAATAAGAATTAAAGCAAATTGAAAACTGTTGTGACCAGAAAGCTTGCAAAGACAAATGGAATATCAGGAAGCCACCATAGTTCCAATAAATGGTCTGAAGTTTTCCTAACTGCAGCTAGAGGTGCACAAACCGGTTTTTTTTTTCCAAACCGGTTTGGGTCAGGTCAACAAAGTTAACACCCGTTCAAGCCTAAACCGGTTCGTCAATAAAAATATGCGAATTTTGCAAACCGGTTCCATTAGATTCCAAACCGGTTCATATGAAACCGATTCGAAAAAAAACCACCTATATGAAATATGGTTTGAAGCAGGAAGAGTTTGACAGTAAGCAATAAGTTGTCTCCATGCATTTCACGTAAAAAAAAAACTCCGTCTCTTCTGTTAATGTTAAGCCAAATTCCAACACAATTGCAATACCAACATTGTAAGAACAGAACATCATATTATGAGATACCAAAGAAAGAGAAGGCAAGGTTTCTTTTTGAAACAATTGCTCCTTTCTTGTTGGTTCAGGTGCACCAAAGAAGGAGATAAAATTGTGCAGGGGTAAAATGGTCAACTATGGTTTGTGCAGGAATTTCACATGGACAGTATAAAGTTGTCCCCTTCTTTAAGCATGCTTTGCCTTCTAGAAACAATTGCTCCATCCTTTAAGCATGCTTTGCTTTTGTTGCCTCGTTAATCCTTTTGTTTGTTTCAATTAACTTTTGTTAAAATATATATATATATATATATATATATATATATATATATATATATATATATATATATATATTTAGGTAACTTCGAAAAACCCATTCTACACCAGTTCTAAACAGGTTCTCATTAAAGCGGTTCTAAACCGGTGCCAACATATATATTTCTAAACCTATACAAACTGGCGGTTCGGTTCTGCATCGGATTGATTCTAGCTTGGGCCGGGGGTGAACCGGTTTTCGGATTGGAAACCGGTTCGGATCGTGAATCGGTTTTTTTGTGCACCTCTAGCAGCAGCTGAAACTTTTTTCTTTAAAAACGTAGAAGCTTCATCTGCAATAAAAAAATAAGAAATCCAAATCAAGACTTGTACATAAACAGAGGTCAATGTACTAACAAATACATACTGTATCCTCGCTAACAAAATGAGGAAAAGATTGTGGTCATATTTTCAACAAAACCCTAAATTAACAAAACAATAAGAAAAAAACTCCAAGACACATTCAAACAGAAGAATCAATTACAAATTTCCAATAAAAATAAGTGAAACAATTATTAAACTATTAAAAAGTATATCAGGTTTAGTTGTGCTTGATATCATTTCTAATTTCTTACTTAAACGTTGATAACACCAGATAGTTGATCAAAATTGGTCATCATGTTCATATCCAACCCAGTCACTGATAGACATGGAACCAAAAAATAGGATACAAAAATCGATATAAGGAGACATGGAATACAAGGCTATGGGTTGGTTTCTTAAAACAAAAAAAGATGGGAGTGTAGACAAACCTGCTCCATAATCCTTTGTACATCATGGGCAAGGCCTTTTTCCCTTAAGAAAAACACAAAAACGAAAAACAGACACCCATACCCATTAAAACAGAGAATTATACAAAACACAAAAAATAAAAATTTTCCTACTTTTACTACATCAACGGTTGTTCCTCCTTCTACAACTTACTCCTAATTCTGTTGTTCATCAAAATGGCCATGCCTAAGTTGTCCAAACCATACCTGTAAATCCAAATAAAAACTAAATCAAATAGGGATAAAATTAATGTTTCTGGTGTCCAATTTAGATCCAAATCCATAAATCGATACACATACATAGTTAAAAACAGATGTTTAGATAGTGAAGGTTCAGAGAGAGACCTTGGTGGTATTCATTTTGATTTTTTAGATTGAAGATGTTTTGGGGTTTACAGATCAATGAAGGTATCATTTTAGGGAAAAAATTCTTCCTAGAACTTCTCACCAAATTCAAAATACTCAATCTGGCCTCTACTTAAACTTTCTATCTTTTTTCTCCTTTTGAGTTTGATCCACCTTGCTGCATATATGTTTGTACAAACATATTGGAAGCTACTTTTGGACCCAAATTGATTTGGAAGCAAATCTAGGGTGACCTTCAATTCACGTTGTCAGCTACAAAGTATATACCACCAAATGTTAACTAATAAGTGTAAATATGATGAAAAAAATATGTTGACGTAAAGCAGATATCAGGGCAAGCAACCCAAGCGATAAACTCTTAAATACTCTAGCAGCGAGATTTTGAGGATTTACAGATGGGGGATCGGTGGTGACGATGGGTATGGCGAACCCTAGGACATCAGTGATGGTGGCTGATGTTTGGATGATGGTTAATGCTGTAAAGGTCTCGATTGATCGATTCAATTGGACGAAGATGAAGAGCAGGTCAATATATGTAGAATTTAAGATATTTAAGATATTTGCTGGAGCGTATTTGGAAGTTTTCAAATTTTGAATGAACCCTGAATTAAGGGAAGAAGATCAGATTTATAAGTATTAAAATAACGTGGTTAAAATTTAATATTATTTTATTAATGGTTACTTGTATAATTAGCTTAATGGTTTCGACGTCTTAAAAAAATAATATTATTATATTCAATATATATATATATATATATAGATAAAGATTAGTTTAATTAGTTGGTTCTTGAATGAGAAGTTAGCCTATTTGTATACATATGTTTCCTATGATTTATCAATGAGATATTAATGAGGATTAAAAGTTAATGGGATACCTGTTGCCTGTGAAGAGTGCTTCACATACAACTCTATGACGTCTTTTTTGAGTCTTCGAATTATCAAGGTTTCTTTCATCAGATTGAGCAATTCTTCATGATTACTTACACCTTGAAAGTTTCAATAAATCCCCTGAAAAATGTTACAAGATCATAGTGAACTTCCTATGAAAAAAAAAGGTAATAAAAACACAAGCTCATAGCAAAATCAACTTCATCTTACACGCATGCATTATCTTTCACCATATTCCTCAACACTGTTATACACAGTAGGATACAATGCTTGAAGCTGTAAAAACATGTACATGTTTTAATTTAGAGAAGAGATACAAATTCATTAGGGATTAAGCAAATATGGAGTCTAGAAAGGATTAATTATGACCTGTGTAAATAAATAGCTCAATTGGTCAAGAAAAAGTTGGAGTCCCACTAAGCAGCATTGTCTATCGAGCTATATGCAATTAAGAAACAAACACACACACACACACACACACACACACACAGAGAAGCAGCATTGTGTATCGAGCTATCTGCAATTAAGAAACTAACACACACACACACACACAGAGTTCTGCTTGGGCATTCTTCAAAAAGTGTGACTCGTCTACAATCACAAATAAAGAAATTATTTATCAAAAAGGCTGTGAAAAAACAAATCCCAAGCGACGTGCACATTGATAGCTTCATTTTATTTACTTCTTTTTATAGTTTATTTTAGCACATTTCATTCGCATTTTAGTTAATTTCCATGCATATTTTCCTTTTTGTTATTTAATGACCATTTCGGGTACTTTCTAGTTTCCTGAGCTTAATTGTAGATTTTTTGGAGACTAGCGGAGCGAAATCTTTGGGAGGCGATTGGACTTGGAGGACAACGAGGATTTTGGGCTTGATGGCTATGGAGGTGATTCATGGAGTGGGCTTGTCAATTACTTGAAGGCTTGGAAGAATTGAACTTTAACTTTGCAAGGTGCGGGAGAATTTTCGAGTGTGCGGAGATCAATGATCGGGCGTTCGCGGAAGCTATGAGTGATTTGGAGAAGACAAATTGGGCTCAAATTGAAGACATCTTGAAGCAAAATGGGCTAGAAACTGATCGGGCTCAAACTGGGCCAATGGTTTAGCTGTGGAGGCCCAAGACTTGAAGAAAACCAAAAGCTCGTCACACTCGCGCGACCCACATAAGGTTTCCACGCGGCCCGCGTGGATTTCTGCAGGGGCATTTTCGGGATTTTGTTTGGAGCTCTATATTGGGAAGGTTGGTGTGCCACTTTAGCCTCATCTTGGACATTCGATTTTGGGGACATTCTCTATGGAGTTTAGAAGACTTTTGAAGGCCAAGAACACCTCAAGAACATCATCTTTTCATCTCTTGATTCTTGTAAAATGCTGGGTACAATTTTTACTAACTTTGGTTTCTTAAGTTTAGCCATGCTTGGCTGGACAAATATTGGTTGACTTTGGTGAAATCCTTTGACTTTTTGGTTGAATGTTGAAGACTCCATGAACTTGTGTTTGAATCTTTATGAGAATGCTTTATGTTTTAACATCTTATCGCTATTTGTATGTTTTTTTTGCATGAGTTTAAATGTGTTTGTGGTGATTAGTTGACTAATTTCTTGATTAAGTAAAAGATCTTCATATTAGCAAGCAACAAGTGATTTTTGTGTTAGTTTTATTTCACACAATCATAAAAACATTTTCTCCAACATGGTAGTGAAAACATTTGACTCTTCTTGGACTTGGTGACTTTTTTGGTTCTTAATGTTAGTTGACTTTCACTAATTACATGCTTAATGGGAATTGTGACTTTGACTAAGGAAAATGTTATGAGCTTCTCTAACCATTTCAATAACTAAGAAAAGTCTAGGTAATCTCAAGATTCTTGGATTCCTATAACCAAATTAAGGATTTAAAACAAGTATTGCACCATTGGATTCTAATGATATGTTCATCAAAAGTCAAAGTGAGGAAACCTTAAGTCAACCATCTTTCCCTTATTGATTTTACATCAAAATCTTGTTTTTGTTAAATTGTCCATTTAAATCTTAGTTTAGTTTTAGTTTATTTCAAGTATTTTAAAAGACCAAAACCCCATTTTTACTTTTATTGTTATTTTACAAGTATTATTACAAAGAGATTTTTCATAGAGTTATAAAATTGAACCAATCTCTGTGGATACGATCCCTTTACCATTATACACTATTTTAATGTAAAAGGCATAAAGTTATTAATTTTGTTGGCCTCGACAACCACCACACATATTACTTGTTTTTCTTAAATATGTATTTATTGATTAAACAAACACATTTTAGAAAAACATGACAGTCAAATTTCAGATGTCCGTAGTTTAAAATAGCTACTCCTAATACTGTTCACAGTCTACATCTACATATTGCTATCTGCATGTATTATCTTTGAAAAGTCCATGTACAACGTATCAACCGCTATCGTGTGATGTGCATGTGCTACTCAATCCCTTTTGTATACATAAACAGTGACCACTTAATAATATCATGATTGCAATTGGATGTCTTGGAATTTTGAAATAGAAGGTAAAATACAAATTACTATATCAGATGGGCTTACCTTAAAACTGTAACACCCCGTTTATTAAATAAATAAATAAATAAATAAATTAACGAATGAATCGTAGCCCTAAAATCAATAATTATATAGCTGGGTGTTGGTTTTGGGAGCCAAAAGTTATTATTTGGATTATTCGTGGGTTAAAGAATAAATTTGAGACTTATTTTGTAAATATTAATGAAGGCAGGGGCTCCGTGGTAATTATTGGGACTTAATTTGGAAGAAAAAGAGAGGGGAAAGTTGAATATGTCATATTTGAGAGTTAGGGGTTTAAAAAGGTAAACTGTGGATTAGTTTTGTAAAGATTTTAGAAGATGGGGGCTGTTTAGTAAAACCCAGACT